GCAGGTGCCTTCTGGGTAACCCCTGTAGTATTTCTGGGAATGACAAGTGCCTAAGAATTCAAACTCTTCAATAGACTGTTATGGTGTGTTACTGGATCGTTTCTCGGTTGAGTCCCTCTGTGAGGACCTGTGTTCTATGCGCGTTTTGTGAGCTGAGAGTGTTGTTCACCGCGTATGAGTGACTTCGATCCGAAGTAGGAAGTCCAACCCGGGTTTCCCACGCTAGCTGAACGCTAATGGGAGGGTTGTAAAAGCCGGAGTTGGGAGTCACTACCCGCAGATTCGCTGAGTGTACTCGCGAGAGACTTTCCCCCTTGAAATCTCAAGTGGAGGTCCTAATCGATCTCTGGCTTGTGTTTCTGTAGTTTCAGGTGTGTGTGTGTGTGTGTGTGTGTGTTGTACGCTGCACTATGCGACCTCCGAGCGAGCTCCGAGTGAACACTTGCAGTATTTCTAGGAATGACAGTTGCCTGAGAATTCAAACTCCTCAATAGTCTGTTAAATGTGACACTTTGTACCCTGTGTGTTCCTCTGTCCCTGAGGGTTCGACCTTTCTACCACTATATTGCAGTTTTAGCCTTTAGTGGGTTATTACAATTCAACAACAACACCGTCTGGGCCTGGACTCTTGCCCGACGCCATAGCTTTGATAGCTGTGTGCAGCTCCCTGGCGGTGGGCGCCACTTGTGCCTCTCGGGTGGCGTTCTCAAGGTCCTGTATTAGGCCCTCTTCATCGGCCTTGAAAGCCGCAGCCTTAAGTTTAGAGTACCCCTTGTAGAATCATACAACGCGCCGCATTTTTGCAAAGAATGAGAGCTCCCAACCTGATGCGTTCCAGATGCGTGTAATCATGGATGTGGCTTCCTCAAACCAAAAGGTATTCATCTTCCAGTGTGAACGGCGGGCTGATTGCGCTTCAAATTGAATCGTGGCATGAACGGGATGATGATCTGATCTTGTGATATCAACCTTTATAGAATATTGAAGAAACGAACGACTGGGTGTTGTTGGAAGAGATAAACTTTGTCAAGTCGGGCTAAAGATCTAGCCGCCCCTCCACGATTGTTATGCCGATGTGAACTTCAAGCTGCCTTGCAATCGCGGATTATCCCCCACCTGGAGAGTAGCCTTCATGGCATCAAACAAGATGCGCTCTCTTATAAGAATCATGGAGGCATCCTTTTGAGTTTTATCTACCCAAAATTCTACCATATTAAAGTCCCCGAGTAGTAGCCATCTGCATGTTTGGGGGAGTGTTTGCGCCATCGTCTCCCAAATAAAGCAACGTACTGGGGAGTCATTCATCACCTCCCGGAACACCTCGTAAGATGAGCCAATGTACCCTGTTAGAGAGTATTGATCCTGTCGTCCCAATTTGCCACGCCCATTGTGGTTGGACCAGCGTAAGAACTCCTCCACAACCTGCTCCCGGATCCTAGGCCGAATGATCGTAGCCTACTGAGGCATAAAACCTGAATGTCTTGGCATTACTCCAAATTCGTTCGCCTAGTTGTGTTAGAGTTGATACTCGCGCCTTGTGTTCTTGTATCGCCAAAATGTCTAGAGAGGTGCGATGAGCCATGATGTATGCGTTCATGTTGTCCACGGCTGCATCTTCATTCAGACCTCTCGCATTAAAGGAAATCACTTGTAGTTTCATATTTCACCTGAAGAGGAAGCGTCCCCGCCGCTGGAAGAAATTGGTGTCTGGAACCCCCATACTACATCGTACGGTGAGGCTGTCCCGTTTGAAGGTGAGATGTGCTGGCGAGCGGCGGCCCGAAGGCTCCTGACTGACGAACCAGACGAGATGCGAGGCTCCTGTGCGAGACGAGTTGGTGCCGAGAAGGGAAAGTCCTCTCTTCCTTGTACTGCAGTGGTCACCGTGGCCGTTTGAGTCGTGCTCACTCTCTTCAGATTACGTCCATGTTCGGAATGCATAGAAAGAAAGGACACAAAATCCTGACGAACAGCTAGTGGAGAGTCCGTGAGTAGCTGGTAGCAAACTCAAAGATTTCCTCTTCTGCAAAGGCCTCCAAGTGCAAAAGCGGGGACTGTGGCAGTGATGACCCCTCCAAAAGTGCCTAGTCGTGACTGGTGTACCTACATTATTTCGAGTGACAGACCGTGGCGATTGTACTCATGGACGCGGCTGTGCGTCACTCGGTAAGTCTTGACAGTCGGTTGTTGGTGGTAGCAACGCCGGGTCCCGGGTGAGTAGTGATTCTTGCTCCTGTCAGTATCGTTCAGTAAATCTTGCTTCCATAGGTACGAATGTACACATGCTTTGAGCCCACCCTCTGGTGAAAGAGAATTGCTCCTGGTGTTGCAATCCAGTGTAGAGACTCCCACCAAAGTTTCTTGTTGGTGTCAATGACATCGCCTTCCAGAACTCGACCTATGACAACGTGCTATGTTAGAAACGGGATCTCCTGAGCAACAATGAGTTGGTCCTCGGGATCAAGGGTGAGAGTAGCTGCCCCGCGCATAAGCATCCCGGAATGATTTCCAAAAGAGCCGCGTTCAAGTAGCTCCCCTTCCACACAAACAAATGGATTCACTATGCTGCTATCGAGAAAACCTTCGATCAAACCTCTTCGCACGAACTCAAGTCCCGCGGCAGACGAGTTGTGCATGCCCATTCCATTAGAGAGTCGTGAGTTGAGTTGGATTTCCGGCGTGCCATTGAGGGCCCACTTGTAGCTACCGCTGTGCCCTGCCATGTTCAAAACCCTAAACCTTGGCAAATTTCGCCTCGTGGGAGTCGTCGTAGTGCTCAATGGTACTCAAATTGACCGCCAGGTGGTGATACGCAGTAATCTGAACTCTAACAAGGGAGAGAAACTGTCAGTAGCAGATTACAGCGTGCGCCGCCTCGACGGCGGCGCAGCGTACCGCTCCCCCGACCTCGACCTCTCTTGCTCCCCGCTCCGGCCTGTTACTGCGGGCCAGGTTTTGCAACGGTGTAACTCTCATTTTGCAATGGAAACTCACCATTTGTTTCAAACAAAAATAAAAAAAATTCCAAGTTCTGCCTGGTGAGATGATGGTGATAACCGTGTAGGTTCATGAACCTTTCTTTGTCTAGGATCAGCTGTGCAATCAGGAGCACGCCTAGCCATCATAAACTGCCGACGTCGAGGGAACTCACGCTTTACGTATTCGGTGCCATATCAGTGAGGTAGCTCGATGGGCAAATGCTTCGAGGTGCTCGACGCTCAACAACTAGTAGGTGACACTGCGCGGACAGGGTCTGAGTTTCAAGCGAAGCACTGAACTCAATGCACTGGAAAAAATCAGTATTTTGTCCTTCTAACATGGGCATCCTCCACATCTAATCAAGGCTCAACAGCCGCGTCAGCACGAACATGAGCTTCTGTTTTGACACAAGATAAGCTACTGAAAGCGATCATTCGAATTCCTGATTATGTGTGCCTCATCGATCAAAGAAGGCCGAGGATAATGAAGCAAAGCCCAGATGGAGGTTACGTGGGCCCTCATGCGGTACGTTTGAATCCTATCTGACTCGCAAAACGGATCAAGAGCAAGAGATTACTCTCTAATTGTGTTGATGAGGCGCGCTTCCATTGCCAGTGCTACAAACTCTTGAACAACAAATCAGTTTTTTCTCTGAAGCTCAAGGGTTACATCTGATTTCTTATGATCACTATACGAGATGTTCAGTCTGAAAGTAAGATCCAGCTACCAGATTGTGAAGAACTCTTCACAATCGGTAAGGTTGACGCGATCCTCAGCAATTACCGCAATTGCTAAACCGAAACAACGGACACAAGTCCAAGAGCATTGTCTTGGGGTATTGAGGGGCCTCATCATAGACGGGTTACTAGATATGGAGCAACCGCAAAGTGTTTCAGAACTCCTGAAATCATTGTAATGGATTTGAATTTGCTCAAATGAGCAAATTGAGTGCAGTGCCTTATTTGAACATCAGCATTAAATGCAGGAAGGCAACATTCATCTAACGGTTAGATGAATGTTGTGGTTAACGTTGTGATGCATGTGGATAAACTTGAGTATAAAAGGTGAGTTTTACTCAATATCTAATATGACCAGTTGCAAGGTGCAAGAGAAGAAACATTATGGAGGCTCGGTCAGCCATCTTGTGCTGATCACTCTAGTGATCACACGGAGAGTATGAACTATTTGTGACCGTCATCGCCTACTGAATGATTGCATTGCCAAACAAAAGCAGAACATGATTCATCCAAGCACGCAGAATGAGGAAAGAAAAATCGTAGGTCTGAATGGCAGGAAGCTTGCTATGGTCTCAATCTCACACATATCATCGTATTTATTCTCATTAGAAGCAGCCTTTCTGGTTCAACTTTAGAAGCAAAGCCGTAGTCTCGTTTTCCAGATCAAATAAGCATCCATTTGCCCACAGTTTCCTGTCATTGAAAACCTCACAATTGCAGTGACAGATGCACACTTTGAACAATATATATACACGGAGATGGTTTACACGTCTATAGGACGTGATGTGCTGAGTTTTAGATCTTGGGTACCTTGATCCGCGTGGTAGAGTAGCGCTTGAACGTCAACTTGAATGTGCTCGGCTTATTATTTGATCTATAGCAAGGAAGTAATAAGATGAAAATCATTGACTCTGAGTCCGCTTTGGACTCTTCCAGTTTCAGTTCTACACAAAAACTGAACACAGCACCATGACAACACCACTCATCGTTCGTCGAGACATGATTGTCACCATCCAAAGTTCCTTCACTTTAATGGTCAGGTAATAATTGAAAATGATGCGGACAGTCTTACCATTCAATTCCGGTCATTGGATGACGAAGTTATTTCTTTCCAAAACATGCTACTTTTATACCAGCACAAGGACATGCCGACATCGTGAATCAGTAAACACAACAATAAACGGATGTACAATGCTTGGCATATCTTCTAGCTTCCCCCCTTGGAGGGCGTGGATTAAATATAACCTGTGCGCCTCCAGACCCAAACCTTCAAGGGAAGAAAATTTGTGCCAATTACATCGTCCAACAGTCTCCCCTAGCACCCAAATCAGATCCTCCCTTAAATGCATTCGATAATACTTCGAATTCATCCATATAGACGAATCTCCTCTTTGCTGAAGGATACTGAAGAGCAATCTAGGCATCAAATTTGAGAAAGTTGCTCTGCTTTGAGTGCTTCTGAGACAAAAAAGAAATAAATCACCGGGGCTCTTTCCATAAAGCAATTGCATGCTATACATAAACTTCGCAACAAAACACAGGCAATTATTAATTGCCCTCTGATCTACTATGGACAATGACCGTCTCATCTATTCCCTCTTCGCAATCTGCTTTGCGCTTTCCTGCCGGAAGAGTCTTATTTCCTCCCCTTGTTCCTACGATCCTCACTGACCCACACCATTCGACACACCATCTGATTTCATCTGCTCTTCGCTCTCAGTCCTCCAAATCCCACTTTCAGTCCATAACTTCTATGCCTAGGGGCTGCATCGCTGATTCTCACACGCACTCGCACACGCACGCTGTACACAGACGGGCAACTGGAGAGACATGGCCGGATCGAACACGGGGGAGATAAATTCTCAGCAGAATTACGGGAGCTGGGTAGAATTGGCGGCCATCATCTTCAGAGGCCTCATCATGTCATTGTCCTCGTGGTCCAGAATGTGACAGTGCCAAACGTAGCCGGGGCCGCTGGTGGCATCGAACGAGAACTGGTGGCCGGACTGCGTCGCCCATCTCACCACGAACTTCGTGATCTTGCCGGGGTACACGGTAGCCGTGTCCTTCCAACCGAGATGGTGCAGTTCGGGCTCCTGCGGGGGCTCCGTGAAACAGCTCATGGGGTCGGGGTAAGCTACGTAGAAGGAGCAGTTGTAGGCGGTCTGCCTTACGGCGTCGAAGGCCTGCTGACTCTTGACCAGGAACGATACCAGGTGCAGGTGGATGGGGTGCGCGTCCTCCGTCAGGTTGATGATCTCCCACACCTCCGTCGTGTTCAGCTCCGGCGTCTCCGTCAGCGGGTCCCTCCACCTCAGCCCGTTCAGCAGCGAGCCGGTCGGGTTTTCGTTGCCGTCGTCGTACTCCGTCAGCGTCATCCTCCTCACGATGGCGCCGTCCGTGCTGATATTCACCATCGGGGACAGCACCTGCGTCGCCGGCAGGTCGAACGGCGGTAGCGTCGAGTTCTCAGGCGCCGCGACCACGTTGAACTTCAGCATCACAGTCGTTAAGCCGACCGCCGGGTCTCCGTCGGGGTACGGCGCGTTGCCGGAGTTGTTGAGGTACGCGACGGTGCCGGGCTGCACCGTCGAGAAGTCGACGAGGAAGTCGAGCCTCTCGGCGGGGCCCATGGTCAGCATGGTGAGGTTGAGGGGCATGTGGAGGTAGCCGCCGTCGGTGCCGATCTGGTAAAACCGCAGTCGCGGGTCGCTGAGCGTCATGACGAAGTAGCGCGCGTTGGCGGCGTTCACCATGCGGAAGCGGTACGCGGTCGGGTAGACGGTCATGAAGGGCCAGGCCTTGCCGTTGAGGATGATGGTGTCGCCGTAGTACTCCGGGCACCAGCTCGGGTGCACGCCCGGCGACACTCCAACCGTGGGGAAGTTGACGGCGCCGTCGGCGTGAAACTGCTTGTCTTGGACGACGATGAGTCGCTCAAACTCGCCGGACGGCAGATTCGCCGGTTCCTCACCGGGTGACTTGACCACGTACATGCCGTTCATGCCGGCCAGCATGTTGAGCCGAGTGATGCCAACCGTGTGGTCGTGGTACCACAGTAGCGCCGCGGGCTGGGAGTTGGCGTACGTGTAGTTCTGCGTGGTGAAGGACGGACCCAGTTCCCCGCTGCTGGTGTACCAGGCGTCGGGGTACCCGTCGGACTCCGACAGGACTTCGCCGCCGTGGAGGTGCGTGACGATGGGCACTCCGCCGGTTTTCGGATTGGCCCAATGGATAGTGTGGTCGACCGTCAGGAAATGCTGCGTGTCGTTGAGGTGATTCTCCCATCGCACGTACGACTCGTTGCCTCTGGTAGCCACCAGCGTCGGGCCTGGCGACGACGCCGTCGCCTCGCTCGTCCCGTAAGCGTACAGAGTCGTCTCCGGAAGGTCGGGGTGGAATTTCTGCGTCACAACGAGAATCTCGTCAGCGAGCGACCGATAAATAATTCGGACGATCAGCGACGCTTCGAGTCAGCTCAGACTCGCTGAAATGAGAATCTCGTCAGCGAGCAATCGATAAATCATTCGGACGATCAGCGACGCTTCGAGTCAGCTCAGACTCGCTGAAATGAGAATCTCGTCAGCGAGCGAGCGATCGATAGTTCAGACAATCAGCGACGCTTCGAGTCAGCTTAGACTCGCTGAAAATTTCTGAATCCCATAAGGAATGATAATGACCTCTGAGTCACAATGTCCGATACCTTCTCGACGTCTTTTGCAGGTCGAAACATTCGGAGGCTGGGGAACGAACGCACTACCTTCAGAGGATTCATTCACACAGAAGAATGAATGATGACTGGAAACTCATCATCCATTCTCACACAGAATTTATAAATGACTGCAAGCGTGACTGGACCTGGCTGGACAAACATACCTGTTTGATTTTATAGACGCCAAGAGTGAGCTGCTGGCCCGTGGAGATGTCAATGACCGGCGGCTGAGTGAGCTCCTCTACGAAAGGCTGCACCTGCGGGGATGGATCCAGCGCCTGACAGAATGACTGAACGCCACCGGACGTTTGGTTATTGTCATGAGGTAGGTGGTCGTCAGCTGCTCCTGCTCCTGGAGAGAGGAGTAATCCGAGCCAACAGACAACGAGAACGAGCAGTGCCCTCCTCTCCATTGTTGTTGTATGGACACCTGAGTAATATTTTTTTCAATAGAAAGAGTTGTCGCCAAATTGTGCGCGCTGATGTAGTACAAACCAAATTAGCTGCGCTCCTCGGGTCGATCAACTTTAGCTACGCATTGCAGCAGAGGTCAGTTGCTGTGGTGCTCGGTCGGGGTCGAGTCTTTCTCGTCAATTCAGAGCATTGTCTGAGACCATGAGAGACAGAGGTCGAGCCTGCGACTGGTACCAGCGAATGTACTGCCCTGGCTGTACTATCTAGAGCTGGAGCCGAAAGCTTTAAGTAAGGTCTGGCAAGCCGATAAGCCGCAGGCACAATTCTAAGAGCTGTAGCGAAGTACACCTCGAGCGCTAGCGAGCATGTGGTTGGAACGAGAGATGCGTAGAATTGGGAGCCTGTTGAGGATTGGGGCCAAGGAAGCAAATCGGAAAATAGAAAAATCATCGCACGGGACCCCTGCACCTCGAGCACACGCGAAAGAAACAAAACCAGGTTCCTCACACACTCCATCGCGAACAGATGCGCTTGCTCTTCCCAGGCCTTCCCACTACCATCCATGGCCGCTTGCGACGGCGCCCAGTGACGAAACGAATATGCAGTTCTCAATATCCATTCTCGCTTTAAGAAATTCAGAAATTCTGATCTGGTTCAGAAAGGCTTGGCGCTTTTTCTCCGGCCATGGTGCAAGGCGGTGGTCAGTTTGTGGTGCAAGGCAGTACCGCGATAAAAGCGAGTGTACTTCATTCCGATGAGGCTGGCCTTGGGTAAAGGCAGGCGCGGAGTCCCAGGGCCGAGAGCCTGCAGACGCGCGTTCCCTCGAACGAAGACGTCACTACCTTTGTCGGAGTGATTACCTCAAGTGCAGAGGTTTCTCATCACCCCTGCGACCTTACCGACTTCCTGGGGCATTAACTGCAACCTTCTGCTATCAGTGACGGGATATCTTCTGTCTCCCACATAAAGTGACAGAGATTTTGGTTCTCTAATATATTTATATAATATATATGAGACCTTACGAACTGAAGGAGGACATTCCAGTTTATGGTTTGCATAGCATGCTTTGTAAAAACGCATTGCACTTGTAAACTGTAGTAAACCCAGAAACATCAATCCGATCAGTTTGACGAAAGGCTCGAAAAAATTTCTGAAAAATTTACTGAAGCAGTGAGCATTATCATGAGAATTATTTTGTTTTATTTATTTTATGGTATGAACCATGTAGAGGGCAACCTTTGATCGAGTCATGCACTTTCAAGCATCCTTGGAATCTATTGTATGGTTAAGCTTTCTAGTTTGTGTGCATCATCAACAATTCGAATACTAGATTCCGTGCAGAACCACATAGGATCACCAATACCATGAGGCGGTTTACATTATATTTCGAATGATCACATAGCCGCAATGGAAACGATTTTTGTATGGTGAGTTCCTTGTCATTCTTCATGTAAGCGCTTTCCTGAAGATATGAGCAAGTGAATTACAGCCGTGCATAGTCTGAATATACTTGCGAAGACTCGTTTCAATCCGAGATTGGAGGTTAGGCTTACTCGTCATAAATTTGGAGCAGCAAATTTTTGATAAACTGAAAGAACTGAGGATTTCCAACGTTTCATTCCTGGGTTAATAAGACACAGACTGTTTGATAGCCAGACTTTAGGTGCTCTGAAACGTTTCTGGGTTGATGAAGTCTCATTTGTTCTTTCTTACTAGGAAATTGACGGCGTATTAATAATGGATGGATAATTACCAGATCCTTGCAGACGGATGTGTCCTGAGACCGAGTTCTTCGTAGAGGCCGAGCGATACGGGATACCATCGATTCTGAAAAGCGACTGGCTCTGGGAGCGCGAATGCCCGATGGCTGTCGAGCGGTGTCAATGGGTAACCGGCGAAGATGGGAAGTTTGGACGTTCGAAGGGTTGACTCCATCAGGTCCGACCCTCACGGGCTGCAATGCAAAGTCGAGCTGCTCGACATGGAGACCCCAATGTCAACGTCTGTGGGCGGCGCGTGCTGCGCTCGCGTGCGAGCTCCGACAGCTCGTGTCGACCTTGGACCCGACACGAGCGCCTGTTCGACGTTTCTACTTGTTTCTGTCGATTCCTAGATCAGCGGGTAGAGGCTTGCCACGTCTGCCTACGGCACCAAAGTACCAGTGGCGGTAGTTACTACCGCCACTGGCAGTACCGGGTAGTACCACATTAATAGTAGAAGATACTGTTTCCATTGTGTTGAATGTTCTAGAGAAGGACAAGTTTATTTGATTTATTAGAACAAGTTTGTTCCTAAAAAAGCTTCAAGCGGTTTGTGGAATTAATCTGAACATTCTGTTGTGTCGATTGGTTGTCGGGATGCTTTGAACTCTGGCTAAATTAGTTATGCATCTAGTCTGTACAGGCTAGGAACTTGTTTTAGCGTTTGAGTCTTAAATTTATAAATGTTAGTAATAAAGCTATATATTTTAAGTATATATCTCTTTTATTGACTTTTAAAAAATATATTAATTTGCTTAACAGAAGACTATGATACTTTTGATATCACAAGAAAGAAGTAAAAACATCACAAATATTAAAATAATAATAGTGATCATGCAAGTCACATGAGATTACTCTTTTCTAAAAATTTATAATGAGATGTTAATAATGAGGATACGGCACTTTTTGGATCAACTGAAGTTTAACAATATTTCTTTTGGAGTTTTTGTAAATCCTTTTGTCAGATAAATATTACATTTTTATTCTAACAAAGTAACCAAAAAATAGCAAATAAACATTGAATAGCGAGCACATCAAACTCCATATATACAGAAATGTGAACCTTAACTTCCAATCCATGCAGACACTTTCGCTTCTTTATGCACATCTCGCAAACGTTTTGTTTTCAACCTTGTTCATGGTTGTTTGAAATGTGGTTAATTTTGCTCGTTTGGGGTTACATAGTTACAAAATCAATTCAAAAGAGAAAAAATTTCAATAAGAAATCTCAAATACATTATCTAGTGATTTTGCATATGTTGATCTTAGTGATTTCACATACATTGAGTTACAAAACTTTACTTAGCTATTTAATGTTGCAGTTGTTATCACCCCATTCAATCATAGTCAAATTAACAAAAATAACCAAACCTGAATCAAGAATTGTACTATTAATCTCTGACATCGCAAATGGATTGACAAAAATCATTTCAAGTTGATGATTTTTTTAGATGTGACTTATGGAAAAAATAAAATACTAACTGAAAAATTCAGATTGATTATTGGCAAATTCAACTTTTACATTTTATCAATCATTTGTTATGATTTTGTAATTTCTACATATGTATGATTGTAAATATCGTAAGATCAACCAGAACGTTGATTATGATGATCTTAGTATCATTAAGTTTTTCTGATTTTGATTAATATTTAGTTCTTTAATTTTTTTTCATAGAATTTTTTAATTTTAAGGTTTATTATCACTATACTATTTTTTAATATTGATCGTTATAAAACTTAACAACGTACCTTGAATATTTTGAATTATATATTTATATTGATTTCAATCAAATGATTGACAATTTCATAGGCTGTATTAAATATTAACTTTGACTTAGTGCACAAGTTGGATTCTAGAAGTTTTTTATCTCCAATGATAAATAATTACCTTTGCTTTGGCAAAGTGAAACTTTAGAAAATCTAAGTAAATCATTGATATTTCACATGTGATATGTTTTAGGATTTTATTTATTATTCTTGAATGATATTCACTCATGTTGAACTCAGTAAAAATTAGGTATTGTTTATCAATTAGGACTTAAGAAAGAAAATCATTTCACAAGTTTGAAGAAAATTTTTTTGATAGTATTTTTCATCAATGAATTCTATGTTTTATAAATTTTATTTTCATAAGAGTTTACATGGAATGATGAGTGGAAAAATATGAAAATATTTGTTTTTGTTTGCGGGTAACCTGAATAACCATCATCAGTTTAGATTCCAGAAAATATTACTAAAAATTTATTTGAGATAAACTTGATGAGAATCAGCCATTTTTTGCGACGATATCAATCCAGAAAAATAAAATACAAGAAATTCAAATCCAAATCATAAAGTTTAAGATTTCCTCAATCAAAGATTATTTGATATAAGAAGTTGATCCAAGTCTTGAGGGTTGAATGTTTAGATGCATTGAGCAAGCATGTCATTATATACAAGATATTATCATAGTTATGACAAACAAAATTTTGAGAATTTAATCAATGAATTGCGCTTTTCTGCAGACATAGTCCCAGCCAAGATGACTTAACTTTTCTTGTGTCTACTTCTGCAAATGCATGTTATCGTGAAAGTTGATCTTAGCTTAAATTTTAAGAACATTCCAGATGATAAGCTAACGAATAGTATGCTCAGAATAGTTCTTATTTCTAGTTCTTTTACATGTAAATCCAAAAGTCAAATGTATATTTTGTTCATTGAGGTATCATTTGGATGTGTTTCGAATGATTGATAATTTTATGCAGCTAAAATTAATTCAATTTTTTGGGAACAATATCAGTGTTTATAAAAAGAAGTTTATGTTGGAGATTGTACCATAATCAGATATATTTTTCAGTATTAATTTTTAAAATTGAAATTTAATAGGATCCTAATAGATTAAAAAAATTAGTTTTCAGGAGAATATTCTTAAACACGATTTACTTCATCTGTGTTTAGCAAGAGTACTTTTTTAAAGCTAAGCTACTTTTGTGATAAAATTTCAAAAATATATCAATTTTAGACTATGAATTTTGACATTTTTATTTTTGAATATTTTACTTTTCTTGAAATCTTTGTAGTTTATATCTCTTGGTAATTTCTATTTAAAAATAAAAATAAAAAATAGAATTATGTGTGATCATGATAAATTGAAAGCTCAATATATTTCAAAAATTAGGTCATTTGAGATATCTCAAGTCTTAAACGTTAAAGTGTTAACGAATTTCAAGATGAAAATATTTTGATGAATTTGAAGAAAAATTAACAAATTTTTTCTGAGTGAAGCATGATACTTGATTGCATTGCAAAAAGTCGGAATATAAAGTTGTTAGTTGTAATTTATAGATCTAGTATAGAGATTGTAGTATAAAAGAACTTGGGAGATAAGAAACTAAATTCGGTCATCTCATCTCTCATCTATCTCTGCATGAATATAAACAAAATAAAATTGTGACAAATTTGAAGCAAAACACTG